AAGAGGATAGAGACGGAAGAGAGCTCGTGGTCCTCAGGGGTCAGGGATGAGAGTGTGGTGGGTGTGGTTCTAACCAGGCAGCTGAGGGAGCTTTGTGGCAGGATGGCTGGTGCCATCCTGTGTCTGACTGTGGTGGTGCCGACGTGACCCACGAACGTGAACACGCCGCATAGAACCACACAGAACACAAGTGCCTGTAAAACTGATGAAATGGGAGTCAGGTCTGTGGGCTGTCAATCTGGTGACTTGCCCTCATTACGCAAAGTGCGATCATTGAGGGAAACTGGGCAAAGGGTGGTCAGGAATTCCCTCCACTTTCTTTTGACAACTTCTTAGAAATCTATAATTATTTCAAAATTTAAAAAAAGCAACTTTTCACCAAGAAAACTCCAGGCAACTTGACTTGTGAATTCTATCACATGTGACATGAAACACCAGAGCATCGAACAAGCCCCCTGTCCACCTGCCACTGGGCCCTGGGAGGAGGCCATAGGAGACGCTGCGTCACCAGCATCTTCTCGAGCTTAAGCCGGGGAGCTGCCCTAGACCCCTCACTGTCACACAACCTCTGAGATCTCCAGGAATCTGCCTTCTACTCTCAACATTGTTCCCCGTCACCCGGAGCCCAGGGCCCCTCCCCAACACGGTGTGCCAGCAGGCATGAGGAACACTGCCCTGGCTGCCTCCCCCACTCCCCAGATGGTCCATCTGCCCCCTGAGACTGCTCCAGTCCGCCTCCCACCACCCATGCCCCCCCAGGTGAAGGCGTAAGGACGGATGAATCAGGCAGCATCTGGCTGAGCCTCACAGCGCCGCCCTCTGCTCCTGCCCGTTCCTGGCCTCTCCCCTTGGGGACCAGCTGTCCTCCGTGCCCCAACCCAGGAGCACCAGGATCAGACCAACAATAAACCCTCACAGCCACAGCAACCCCACCAGGAGCCACCACGGCACTCCCCCCCGAAGGAGTCATGGCCACAAGTGTCCCCTGACCCACCATCAGGGAACCTGCAGGAGGAACAGCTTGACCACAGCTCAGCCCCAACACCAGCTTCCCTAAGGGCCATACCCTGGTCAGGTGGTCATCGAGGTATCCAGCCAGCAACTGACTCATCTTATGAGGCTTCCGGGCCCCCCAGACACTAACAAGGAAGGGCAGGCGTGGGAGCCTCGTGCAGGGACAACACACCTACCCAGTAGGGGTATAAAACTGACAGCTTGAGCACATCACACACACACACACTCACACACACACTCACACACTCACACACTCACACTCACCCTCCTCCAGCCCCACCACCCCCACTATGGCTGCGTCCGCCCTGTCCACCTGCTCCGGCGACCTGAGCTACGGCAGCCGGGTCTGCCTGGCCGGTCCCTGTGACTCCTGCACCGGCTCCTCCTGGCAGGTGGACGACTGCCCAGAGAGCTGCTGTGAGCCCCCGTGCTGTGAGCCCCGCTGCTGTGAGCCCCGCTGCTGTGCCCCGGCCCCCTGCCTGAGCCTCCTCTGCGCCCCAGTGAGCTGAGTCGGAGCCCTGCCCCTGCCCATCTGCCTGCTCAGCTCCTGCTCGTCCG